CTTCTTCCTTGCCCTCTCACCTTCAGTGACCACCTGCTGTGCCCCTTCTTCATTTTCCAACTTCGCAAACCTGTTCCTGAGCTCTATTTCTCCTTCACTAGCCCGTCTTCTCCTCTGCCTGGTTCTCTTAGTCATATACTTCCACTGTCCACTTTTCTCACCCAGCAGTATCCCCTCAGAGTTCTTCAGTCCTGCTTCCATCTGCAAGTCTGAGCTTTTCCCTTCAGCCTCCTCATGTCTTTGCTCCATCAACCACTCGAATCCCCTTCTAAACTCAACCAGAGTTTCCACCTGCATCTCCAATCCTCGGATCTTTTCTTCCATCAGCTCTATCAGGCGGCACTTCATGCAGACGAAACTCTTTTCGGGTACCCCATCCAGGATCATGTACATGTCACAGCTTCTACATCCAGTCATCTTCATTGTGTCTTCCACTGCTTGGGTCACTACCACTGCTGCCTCTGTATCTGTCATTGCCTTCTCACCTAAGTCAAATATCTTTTCCTCCAACAGAACTCCCACTCAAACTTCCCTGTTTACAGTTCTGTTTGCTGGCTCCTTTCTCACATAAAGTCACTAACTGAAAAAGAAGAGCCTGATGCTCTTTCAGATTCTGGTACTTTAAGTTTCAGGCCTTCTATTACTGTGAAACAAATTATGTTACAGTTACAGTTCTTTTGAGTAAAAATGTCCACTTAGGTTAATCACCAGCAGTTAGGGCTGTCAATTAGCCACAGTTAACTCAAGCGATTAACTCAAAATAAATTAACTGAATTAAAAAAATTAATCATGGTTAATTGCGGTTTTAGTTGCACTGTTAAACAATAATAGAATACTTATTATAAATAATAGAATGTTTATTATAAATATTTTTGGAAGTTTTCTACATTTTCAAATATATTGATTTCAATTACAATACAGAATACAAAGTGTACAGTGCTCACTTTATATTACAAATATTTTCACTGTAAAAAATATAAACAAAAGAAATAGTATTTTTCAATTCACCTCATAAAGTACTATAGTGCGATCTCTATCGTGAAAGTGCAACTTACAAATGTAGATTTTTTTTGTTCCATAACTGCACTCAAAACCAAAACAATGTAAAACTTTAGAGCCTACAAATCTACTCAGTCTTATTTCTTCTTCAGCCAATTGCTAAGACAAACAAGGTTGTTTACATTTACGGGAGATAATGCTGCCTGGTGAGAACAGGTGTTCACATGGCACTTTTATAGCTGGCATTGCCAGATATGCTAAACATTCATACGCCCCTTCATGTTTGTTTTGGCCACCATTCCAGAGGACATGCTTCCAAACTGATGACGCTTGTTAAAAAAATAACGTGTTAATTAAATTTGTGACTGAACTCCTTGGAGGAGAATTGTATGTCTCCTGCTCTGTGGTTTTACCCGCATTCTGTCATATATTTCATATTATAGCAGTCTCAGATGATGACCTAGTTGTTCAATTTAAGAACAGTTTTGCTGCAGATCTGACAAAACACAAAGAAGGTATCAATGTGAGATTTCTAAAGATAGCTGCAACACTTGACCTAACGTTTAAGAATCTGAAGTGCCTTCCAAAATCAGAGGAACAAGGTGTGGAACATGCTGTCAGAAGTCTGAAAAGAGCAACACTCCAATGCAGAAATTACTGAACCCAAACCACCAAAAATGAAAATCAACCTTCTGTTGGTGGCATCTGACTCAGATGATGAAAATGAACATGCATCAGTCCGCACTGCTTTGGATCGTTATCAATCAGAACTTGTAATCAGCATGGAAGTATGTCCTCTGGAATAATGGCCAAAGCATGAAGGGGCATACAAATGTTTAGCATATCTGGCACATAAATGCCTTGCAACTTCCACTACAACAGTGCAATGTGAATGCCTGTTCTCACTTTCAGGTGACATTGTAAATAAGAAGCGAGCAACATTATCTCCTGTAAATGTAAACAAACTTGTTTGCCTTAGCGATTGGCTGAAATAGAAGAAGGGCTGAATTGACTTGTAGGCTCTAAAGTTTTATATTGTTTTGTTTTTGAGTGCAGTTATGTATCAAAAAAAAATTCCACATTTGTAAGTTGCACTTTCACGATAGAGATCGCACTATAGTACTTTATGAGGTGAGTTGAAAAATGCTATTTCTTTTGTTTTATCTTTTTTACAGTGCAAAAATTTGTAATCAAATATAATAAAAGATAAGCACTGTACACTCTGTATTCTGTGTTGTAACGGAAATCAATATATTTGAAAATATATAAAACATCCAAAAATATTTAAATAAATGGTATTCTATTATTGTTTAACAGTGCAATTAAAACTGTGATTAATTGCAATTTTTTTTAATCTCACAATTAATCACGATTAATTTTTTTAATTGTTTGACAGCCCTACCTGATATCTATGTCTTATTTAAAGCAGAGCTGCAATATTAAGTGGATCTATTCATATGTCAAACTACAAATCCTCAGTGGGAAAAAGGATTTACGCCATACTCTTAGATAATTAATAAATAACATCTTCAAAGTGCTTTATAAACATTAACTAATGAATCCTCACTATACTTCTGGGAGGGTGGTGGCTGTGAATAGGCATTACAGTCACCATTTTATAGACGGTGATAAAACCGAAGCACAGAGAAGCTGATTTGTCCAAAACCATTCAGCAAATCAGTGGCAGAGCTACAGTATTCTCAGAGGTCCTTATTTATCTGCAGTTCATCAGATCAGTTCATTGGCAGTACAGTGATCAGCTGTAAAATACTTTGAATCAGAGGAAACTAACAACAAAAACTAAATTGGGATAGTTTACACCAAAGATTCTAGTGAAAGAGGAACAAAAACCAGCATGTCAGACTTTCTTCTGTTCTGGCTCACATAAGGAACCTTAAATAAAAATGTAAGAATCTCCCTAGATTGGCTGATCTTATCTGACATGCTAAATTGAATTTCATTCTCCTTTCCAAATAAATCCATCTACTAATATTCTAGAGTATCTTATGTTGCACACAGAAGAAACGACGTTTCTCTCCCAGGTGTGTATTCTGGAGCAGAAAATGTCCCAATATCAGTAAAACATACTGTAAACCAAGTAGCATCCTGAGGTGTTTAAATACACAGACCCTAATACGTTTCTCATGTAAACTGTTCTCAGAAATTGTATTAGCAGAAAAAAATGGTATATATTCTCCTATTCTAATCTAACCCCAAGGTTTTTGTAGCAAAGCAGATGTACACATACAAAATACAACCAATTTGCAGATTCTACACTTTCATATATCTTCTTGTATAGACCCCAGGGTGACACCTACTGGAGACAGAAAAAATAAGCAGCATTTGGCAAATAAGCAAAAGAAATCCTGTCCTAAAACACCTGAGAACATGCTTCATAACTTTGTTTTAGTACTGCCAACCCCAAGCATTCAAAAGTTGTGGTTGTTGGATTTAGTATGCAGATGCTGGGTGGTGCTGATGGCCTGTGATATACAGGAGGTCAGACTAGATGATCTAGTGGTCCTTTCTGACTCTAAACTCTGATTCTAAAAATATATGCAGTGTTGTTTTAACTGTGTTGACCCCAGGACAGAGAGACAAGGTCAGTGTGGTAACATCTTTTATTGGTCCAACTTCTGTTGGTGAGAGAGACAAGCTTTTGAGCCTACCTAGAGCTCTTCTTCAGGTCTGGGAACCTAATTCAGAGTGTCACTGCTAAACCAATCTTATTACAATAATCTGTAACCCACTAACAACACACACACACACCCAGCTGCTTCCCTCCCACCTCCTTTTCTCCCTATGACTGGAGGGGTGTTAATCAGCCACTTCACATTGAATGGTCCCCTGATATGTGTTAACTGCTTATGCTAAAAATATCTGTTACACCTTGTATTGAACCGTGACACTCTAAGGCTATGTCTACACTAGCACTTTTGTTGGTAACTTTATTGTCAGTCAAGGTGTGAAAAAAACCACCCCCCGATGAACAAAAGCACAGGTACGGTATGGACAGCGCTATGTCGGCGGGAGACACTCTCCTGCCAACATAGCTACCACCGCTTGTTAGGGGTGGTTTAATTATGCCGGCGGGAGAGTCAGGAAGGCAGTAAGTTTTCACTTGGTAGATAGAGTTTGTGTGGACAACATATAGAACAAACTGGGGAAACCATCTGATCAAAAAGGTGTTTTAAACAGCCTAGTTAAAATTCTCTCCCCATCTCAATTGCACAGCTTTTAGTCTCTGGTCTGTTACAATGTCCTAATTCCATTAGTTTTCCAATTACCACAGAATCTTTCAAGGTACACAAGATATGGATTTCTAATGGGAAAATCAAGCAGAAATAAAACTAAGCTTTTTTTATGCTATCCTTTCAAATGTTCTGTACATACCATAAAGGAAATAAACCCATCTTTTCCCCTTTACAGGCAACTTAACTATGGGACCACATGACCAAGAACCGGTCATGACCCCATTATGAATCAGTGTATCGCAGTCAACCCAGGTCAGAACCCAAAGAAGATGAGCATTGGATACTTTGTTTTATACATTTCAAGGCAATATCAGATTACTTCAGTTAACCAAACTAGGAAGGGTTTCATTGTTCAACACATTCCTGCAAAGGGATATATGTTCTTTCCATATGCCAAGGATTTACATGTTGAACTTTCCATGTATCAAGATGAAAATACACCCAAGCATAGCTAGCCCTTAAAATCATTGTTCTTGGGTTCAGTCAATTTCCCCCCTTCTATACAAAAATCAGTTCATTCAAAATTGTTTGTACAAAATAAAGGAAACCTTGGGAAGTGTTCTTTTCAGGGTTTGGGGTTTTTTTTAGAGAACAAAACTTAGAATCTTAAGATGACTGAAACATAGATACTACAGAAAATCTGTGCGGCATATACTCATCATTGTATACTGTTTTTAAGAACCCCACAGAGGATATGCAGCTTTTTTATTTCATTATGAAATGCCCAACTTGTTTCTCTGTTTGCAGGACAAAGTTCTTTTGGGAACAGATTACCCTTTTCCACTGGGGGAACTAGAACCTGGAAAACTGATTGATTCTATGGAAGAGTTTGATAATGGACTAAAGGTACAATTCTTTACATTTTTTATTTCAGTTTTTAAGCTTCCATTTTTAGGGCCTGATCTAAGGTGCTAAGAAGTCAATGAGAGTTTTCCATTGACTTCAGAGGGCATGGGATCAGCCTCTTAGTCTTTAAGAACCAGTTCCCCACAGCACTGAAAGCACATGCACATGCTTGACTTCGATAATACTTAAGTATGTGCTTAAGTGCTTTGTTGAATAGGAATAGACTGCTGAATTAGGGCCTAAATGGCTTAGGAAAGCTGTGAGCTATGCAGCAAGCTTCTACAATACACTCCATAGTGAATCAGGAAATGAAGAGTGAACAATATGGCAGTGTGGAATTGTGCAGCCAAGGAGACAAGGGTGGGGACCCCAGAGCCAATATGAAGACACAGAGCCTTGTGGATCTCTTGGAATATGTTCAGCTCTGTAGGAATCTACCAGGTCCCGAGAGTGGAAGCAGATCTCATTTTGTGGGACAGTTAGGGAAAACTCTCTGCCCCACCCCCATAGACTGATATGGGGAATCCTCGTAAGATCATTTCATGGCTCCCGCATCCCAGGCCTCCTCCAGCAGGTAATTCCACAGAAAGAGATGTCCTGAGACATTATTAATAAAAACCTGTTTCCAGACCTTAGGTGTTAACATACACAACAGTTGTAAGTTTCTCTATAAAAATATACATTCTTTTACAGGATAAACTCAAAGCTGGCAATGCTCTGGCATTTTTGGGTCTTGACAGAAAACAATTTGAATAACCTTACAGAGACCAAATTTCAGCGATAATATTGTATCCTTTTATATATTTGTGTACGTGTATACACATGTGTATTGCTACCAAATCAATGTCAAATAAAATCTACATATAAATGATAGTATTTACTGGTATCCTCAAAGTAAAAGCAAGGGCACTAGAAATCCACATGTGGGAATTTCTGTGTCCTAAGGATTTAGGTTGTACCTGCAGATTTTTGGGATCCCTGCTTTTCTACAGAGATTTCATTTCTTTCAATTGTGATGATGATAATCTTCTGAATACAAATCAATGCAGAGTTATCAGTACCAGGTTTCTTGAAAAAACAAATAGCTCAATGAGAGTTGTGAATTTCCCCCATTTATTTCAGCTGTTAACTATGAACCCTAATGATCACAATGTAAATATTAATACATAAATAATTGACAGTGTGATTCAATGTTCCATTCACTTAAAAGGGTATTCTTCATGAATAAAGCTGCATGTTTTAAATGTGAAAATATATTAATGGTTGTTTCTAATTTATTTTATGTTTTTATTCTCAGTCTAGAACACCTTCCCCAGCTGACAAAATTATTTTCTTTATCTAGGATGTCCCAGTTTTCTTGGATGGTGAAGGGTAGGTTGAAACCTGGGCTTTCAGTATTGTTGGGTGACTGCCTGGACAATCTCTTCCTAAAAGTATTTTTAAGTCGTCGGAAAGATAATGCTTTGCCCTTATTCTTTCCCCTTTCATTTGCTCAGGTTTCAGTACACTGCTACTTGTGATGTCATAATCTCACTAGTTCTCTAGTCTTCCAGAGAATCTTCCAGGAAAAGCAAGACAGACAAGACCTGAATTCCTAATGTAGCTGAACACCTCCACTCTACTTTACAGACTGAACCTGAAAGATGATATGTATGAGAATTGCTGGTGTTCAGCATCAGCCTGTGGTGAACTGCAAACGAAAAAAACTGAGCTTGCACCTGTTTTTGCTTCTTTGTAGTATATGAAAAAGCCTGAAAGGCTTAGAAGTCTTTTTTAAGGGTAAGGGTTTTTTTTTTTTTTCCATTTTTTGCTTACTTTACACATTAGGATTCAGGTCTTATCTATATTATTTCTCTGAGAAGACTCTATGGAAGAGTACAGAAATTCAATGGGAGCTAAGGGTACTCAGCACCTCTTAGTAGACACTCAGCACCTCACAGCACCAGGCCCTTAGATAGATACATTCCAGGGTCTAAATTAATATCCTACGAAGGAATTTAGATGCCTAAAATCCCAGTTTTAGGTGACACAGTGATCCACAAAATCTCCACTTAGTTATTGCCTAACCCTATAGGTGCCTAAACTCAGTAGGTGCCTACGTTTTTGCAGGTTTCAGAGGAACAGCCGTGTTAGTCTGTATTCGCAAAAAGAAAAGGAGTACTTGTGGCACCTTAGAGACTAACCAATTTATTTGAGCATGAGCTTTCGTGAGCTACAGCAGTAGAAGTTCCCTAGACACCTAGGTTTTTGCCTCTGGGCATGTGCACTGCTGCCTCATTCCAGGCACCTGGACAGCTATCTCCCACCTAAACCCCAGGTCAATCCACAAAGCATGGGAGGGTAAACATTCCTCTCCCAATCTTGGTGTAGGGTCCAATCTGGAAAGCATGCTCAAAGGCTGCGTAACTTCACACAAAAACATCAAGGTAGGGGAAGAGAAGGAAGACAGGGACTTACTTTAGAACCTTTAGTCCAGTGGTTATGGTACTCATTCAAAATGTGGAAGACCTCCTGTTTCAAGTTTGTCCTCTGCTTGATGAGAAGGGATTTGAACAAGGCTACTCGACCTCTCAGGTAAATTCCCTAGCTACTGGCATATAGAATGCTTCTCATTTTCTCAGACCCAATTAATATGTAATTAAAGTGGAACAACTTTAACAAGAGCAATGGAAAAAGACCCACGTGAGAATATCTAGTAGTCCAATGGCTAGGTCACTTACCTGAGAGGTAAGAAACCCCCATTCCGATCCCTTCTTCTCATCAGGCAGAGGGAAGACTTGAAGCAGGGGTCTCCTACATCCCATGTGGGTACTCTGCCACTGGGCTAAAGGTATAAGGGAGGCAGTTGCTACTGCTTCATGAAGTTAGTCAACACGTAACTACACCTTGCAAGAAACAACTTAGGCACCTAAGCCACCTGGCTCCAGAAGAGGGGTGTCTGGCTGTGGATTGTTAGAGATAAGGGCCTCCATGCATTCCAGACTTAGGCACCAAACTCTGTGAGAGGAGCAGGGTTAAGGACTCACCTCTCTTATTGGCATCTGCTATTGACTAGCTTAGGTGGGTTCTTGCTTAGCATGCTGGCTTTTGTGGATCCTGCTCTTAAGCACCTCTCTTACCATTCAACTTATGGGGAACCAGGGCACCTAACTCAAGCTTTGTGGATCACATTGTTGTTCCAGTAATTTTTCTAGGCACCTAAAAGACAGCACTGCAACGCCTACATCCCTTTGTGGATCTGGGCCTAGATGTTTATGCATGAGGAAAAGGAAGCTACATAAAGTGGCTTCAGTTAAACTTAATTGCACTCAGTCCAGCAAGCCCTTCAATGGAAGTTCAGTGAGTAGAAGGCATAGAAGACATGGTCTTTCCTGTCAAACTCTCCTGTAAAGTCTGTAAGTATCTAAAGGATAAATTCTTCAGTTATTTAAATGTTAGATGATTTCTCCACCAACTTGTTTTAATTGAACTTCAAAGTGGAGAAAGGATGGCTTAATTCTCATAGCAGTCCCTTCCTCCCACCCTCCCCATAACCTTTTTAGCTTTGCTTCTTACAGATGTTTAAATAGACAAGGTGGGTGAGGTGATACATTCTTCCGTTGGTGAGAGAGACAAGCTTTCGAGCCACACAGAGATCTTCTTCAGGTCTGGGAAAGGAAGTTCCAGCTTCATAGCAAAATGCAAGGTGGAACAGATTGTTTAGCCTAAGTGGTTAGCACATATTGTAAAGGACCATTCAAATGCTTAAATGGATTTTAAAAATAAATACATCTTAACTGCTGAAATATTTTTAAAATCAGATTCATTCTCTTAAGCAAACCTTGATTTGCTATGTAATTAAAATACAATGCTTATGTCTTTGGGGACTACAGCTCTATATTAGTTAAGCATTATTATGATTTATTATTATTGAATACAGCTCTACTTTTTCTTAGTGCCTTCATTTCAGATTTTGCAGTCAAGGGCATATTCCCCTATTAATCTCCTATTTTTATTAATTTATATTTTAAACCAGAACACAGTTCCAGGAGTAAATATGAGACCAAAACACATCAGAATTCCATTGAGATGTGGTAGCATGAAGAGACTCCTCCAACTCTCATTCTGACCAATGATGGTCTGCACTATATAAGAACTAGATATTATCATCGGTAACGTACTCCATGACATAGCCTGCCTCTTTTCCCCTCCCTCTCTACAGCTAGAATCTCTACCTCCCCCAGTCTCTCATGGCAGGCATCATAAGGTGCCTCAGTCAGTTTGAGCACAGCACACATTGATACCTGTTCTCCTTCCTAGTCCTGCTGCCCCTTTGCATAAATCTCTTCCTCTTCAGGTCTTGCTGTTCATGCTCTAAGGAACAGAAAAGAGGTACCACTAGTGGGTAGATCACTGGGACAAAAACAGAAAAAAAGTATCATCAGCAGGGTTGGAACTTTTAGATCCACTGCATAGACCACTGCCTCTTGAACTACTGGAAGAATTGGGCTGCTTGTGGTACTGTGATGAGTACAGCTATCTGCCAAGCAGCTGACCTGGGTTTGATTCCCAGCCAATTCAGTAATGAGTTTTAGGCAAGGGGGATGATCCAGTGGTTAGGGAACTAGCCTGGGATTCAGACAATGTGGGTGCCATTCCCTTCACTGACACAGACTTCCTGTATCTCAGTTCCCATTTGGAAAATAGCACTAAGAGAGGAACTGATAGAAATAGTAGGTTGTCATCTTCAGTGTAGACCAACAGAGGCAAAGCAGACATTTTCCAGTTGGTTTCACAGCAGTAGTATAACCTTGATAGTATTAATCACCATGTATTTTTGACAGGTTCCCATGCCCCATTTAGGGCTTATGTCCCACCCTACGTCTCCATTTCCTTTCGTGTATAGGTCTCATGCCATCAGCTATTTTGAAAGGGGTTTTTTTATTTTATCTTTTTGTTTGGCCGAGGGAAATGTTGCATGCTTGTGCTTTGGTATGTTTGGCTGGATACTGTGAGAGCTTAAAGGAAAGGAGTTTTTTTTAAAAAAAAGCACGATTTTTGGTTAGGTTTAGCGATCGGCCATTTTGAAAGAAAAAAAATACGATTATTTTTGGACAGAAGAAATGTTGTGTGCTTGTTTTTTGAAAAGTTTAGAGAAAAAGCATGAAAGACTAGAGGCTGGTTATGAAAGATTTACAAAAAGAAAGATTTTGGTTAGGTTTAGAGGAAAAAGGGAAATAAAGGTTATTAAATAGCAGACAGCAGCAATAGTTTTAAAGGTTATGATAAAAAGATCCTTTTTTTATAATTACAAAAAGACAAAAGAAAAACAAGTTATTTTGAAATAAAAGAGGAAAATACAAAGGTAGGCTAATAATATAGCATTTAAAATGAGTTATTTTGAAATATTAAATAAAAAGTAAAAATATAAAGATAGGTTATTACGTTAGAGAGCACATGATAGAATAAAGGGAATTTTAACATTTATTAAGCCTGTGTTTAGTGCACAGGCTTGTGTAAACGTGAAGTTTGATGTAAAGATGAGTAAGCCCATGGTAAAAAGATGATTTTTGTTGGAATTAAAAAATAATAAAAGAGTAAAAAAGAATTTAAAAAACAGAAAAACTTAAAGAATAGAGGAACATTCTGTGTCTAGTGACACAGGCTAGTGTAAGAGTGGAGTTTGTTGTAAAGATCAGTAAGCGCATGGTAAAAATATGGAGTCTGGTTTTGAAGTTTTTTTGTTGTAATATCGCAACTTTCATGTCTGTAATCACGTGACCAGAGAGACTCCAGCGAGAGACTGTTGAATTGGAATTCATTTGCAAATTGGATACAATTAATTTAGGACTGAATAGAGACTGGGAGTGGCTAAGTCATTATGCAAGATAACCTATTTCCCCTTGTTTTTTCCTACCCCCTCCCCCTCCTCAGACATTCTTGTTAAACCCTGGATTTGTGCTGGAAATGGAAATTGTGGTACAGCTGCCAGGGATAGTAAGGGTAAAAAAAAAAAAAAAACCCACACACGCTCGTTGATAGAAACAAGAACTCTGAAAAAAAACCAGAAAGTCGTTTATGACAAAGAGCCCTCTAGGTGGATTTTAAAACCTTGCCATACAGGAATTGATTATGAAGAGCCACATTCACTTTGTTCACCCCTTTTCCTGTTTTCTTTATGGTCCTTTGAATTCTGGAAAATCATTTTATATAAAGCAATTGTTAGAAAACCGCAATAAGCTGTTGTTGTGCATGCCTGAAAATCTTGTGGGGTATTATAGCTGTTGGCAACCATTGTATGAAGAGTTGTTGCAAAAGTTTCCATGTATTACGTTTTTGGAAGGTTTAGCTGATACTTTTAATGATGAAGTTATTTCCTAGTAATAAAATGAATATGGTTATTATAGACAATCTAATGGAGTCTCCTTCTGAAAGTGGTAAAATTGAGAAAGCCTTTACAAAATACATGCACCACAGGAACCTAGGTATTATGTACATTGTGCAAAACATGTTTTGTCAGGGGGAAAAAAAAGCCTAACGATTAATTTAAATAAGTATATGGTTCTTTTAAAAAACAAAAAAACCACATAAACTGCAAATAACCACTTTGGCCCAGCAAATGTACCCTGGTAAAACACAATTATTTTTGGAGGCTTTTGAGGATGCTACCAAAAATCTCTATGGGTACCTGCTGGTGGATTTAAATGCTTCAGTGCCTGAAGCCTTCAGGTTAAGAATGGGCCTTTTCCCCCTGACTGACCCTGTGTATACACCTTAAAAAAAAAAACACCATAAAAATTAGTTATTTTTATCAAACCCTCATTTTTAAAAAGAGCATCCCCCTGACAATCATGTCTAGCCGCGTGCAGAGAAACCTGGCTCTTTTAAAGATTCCTCAAAGCCAAACCGCAGCAAAGGAAAGGTATTCTCTGCTTGGCTTCTGACAACCTTGTAGCGACCACCTCAGAAATAGCACTCAGCATGTGAAAAGGAAACGTTCCTCTGAAACCCCGACAAATAAGTGTACTAAAAAGAAAATGGGGGATTATTAAAAAGCTGAGTGATAAAAGGGTATCCCTCAAAAGAAAAAAGCTAATTGTAAAACAGGCCGGGGGTTTTATCGGTCCTTTGTTGAGCTTTGCACTCCCTCTGCCGTCAGCCCTTTTAATTAACGGATAATGGAACATGCTGAAAAAAATTGTACCTCGTTCCTAGCTATCAGAATAAATAAAACGCGCCTCTAGTGGTGAAAAAAAAAGTATCAGAACCATCATCAAAAACCGCATACACTTCCATGTTAACCACAGAGGGCAGCGCCGTTGCAAACCGAGTCTCCGCTCTCATGTTTCCAGTTTTAAACAAAAAATGATGATTGGCGCACTCCTTGTCTGGGGTCAGATCAAAGGCGTACAGTGTGTAACCCTGGGCAAATTCACAATGATCCATCAAGAGCGATCGGTCTTTTACATATTTCCCAGTCGCCTGCACGAGCTGCATGTACTCCCTCACGCAGTTTCCATTCTCAAAATCGGGTTGTAGGGGTTTTGCTGGCACCTGTTCACCATCCACATACAAGGCCAAAGTTAAAAGGGTTTTTAACACAGCTGCGGCTGAAAACGTCACTATCGATAAACCCAATTATGAGCTGCTTGGGTAACTGTCCCAAAAAGAAGTTTTCCTGGTTACTGACATGACTGCCAGCCTGAATGCTAAACATCTTTATGCCCACCCTGTCTACTAAGTACTTAGCACTGGCAGTCATCAGAACTTCCACATGCCCCAAGCAAACCCCTGGTGTTACTTTCACCTGTTTTACAAACAGGGACGCTGAAATAATATGCACTTAATATGCACTGGCATTCCCGCTCATGAAGCAAAAAACATCTTTGCTATGCGTCAGTTTAATTTTCAAGTCCACGCCATTCAGCAGCAGTTTTTCTTGAAAAAAATAAATCGCTGTGTAGAGGCCCCAAAATATCCAGCTTCCTGCTGCCAGCCATTAGTCTGGTCCGGCGCACAAATCCCTCGTTACCTGCACCATCCAAAATGGTGCTTTCATGGGCCCCTGCTGTGTCTTTATAAAACCCTCCCGTTGAAACTGCGTAGCAAGGGCGTCATGGCTGTCATTCAGAATCAGCTCTATCAAGGCTCTGTAAGGGTAACAATTGTTGCTCTGACTGATAAGATGGTCGCCTCGAGTGACATCCAACTGGTTAAAAAGGTGGCAATGGGATTGTTTGTCATGGCAACCCAGGCGTCGTCATCAATATCTGAGCAATCTTCTTTTACCATCTTGCAGCACACGTACAGCAGCATGTTGTTAAGGTGTAAGTAATGATTCCCGAGTCCTGAAATAAAAAATTCTAGAGGGGCATTCACTGTTAAAGCGGCCAAAGGAGGAACTGCTACATAAAAGCTATTCTCTATGCTAGTTTGTGTGGGAGCTATTTGAAATAAATCGCGTTCTGATTTGGCACATTCTTCAGAGCCACAATGAATGAAAACCATTTTAAAATATATCCTTTTCCTGAGGGCAACGCTCTGCTTCCTTTTCTTAGAGCGCCTTTTGGGTTTATGGTGGAGGCATCTTCTGGCAGCTTTTTTTTTTTTTTTTTAAAGGGCCTAGGAGGCCCCTCCCATACCCAAACTCCCGCCCACACCCCTCACCCTCTCCTGTACCCCTACACTCTGCCCCAGCCTGGAGCCCCCACCTGCACCCAGACTCCGTCCCAGAAAGAAACTAATATAACACCTGTTCTAAGGTAAGAAGTAGGCTATTTTGAATTCACTTAACTATATTCTACATGTTTTAAGACTGAAACGTAACCAAAGAAAAGCTTTATGTTAATTAAAAGGCAAGTTTAGTACTGCGTTAACAGCCTCGATGCCATAATGGTGAGCCTTTGTTTTAAATTAGGAAAAAGATTTGTATACAGGGGCTCCACAAAATCTAATCACCCCCGGCCCACAGGAGGGTTAACCGGGCCCTGCCCCCAGAGGGGGCTCCGGGGAAGGGAGCGGCTCCAGACCAAGCCCGGGAAGGAGGCAGGAGGACGGCTGGGGCTGAGCCTGAAGGGCAGCGGGGGAGGGGCGGCCGCTGGGCGAGCCCCAGGGTTGGGGTGAGGGAGGCCTGCTCCGGCCGAAGAGCGGGCCGCGGCGCGCACGCACCCCGTCCGTCCCCTGAATCACACGAAGCCGCTGCCCGCCGCAAGTCGGTGAGCGAGTCAAACGGTGACGCACGCCCCGCTACCCAACCAGCGCGCGCGCCAGCGGCCGCACGAGGGAGGAGAGGCACGGTGGTACCTCATTTCCGCCCGGATCCGCTCGAGGCGGGACTTTTCTCAGGCTGCGGGGGAAGGGGCCGGCGTTGAGGCGCGGGGTGGAGTTCTTATTCCCGATCCTAGAGTGGCTCCTCTCCCTGCGCCCCACATCCGGGGCGGGCCACTGTACTGTACGGTGCCTCGATAGGCTTGTCCGCCGATGGCAACCTCGTAGACAACGTAACACGGCTTTCCTTGCGGCGCTCTCGCCGGACTCTATGGTTTTAGGCGGCTAGGTGGAATCCTGGCGGGGCCCGTGGCCCGGAGTTCTCGCGAGAACTAATATGGAGGGAGAAGAGGGGCCTGGCGCCGCGGCGGCTGGGCCGCCAGCGGGCGGGGCCGGAGGAGGAGGGGGAGGAAGTGTCATGGCGGCGGCTGCGAGCGGGTCTGGTGGCGCGGGCTCGGCGGTGCGGGGTGGCGGCTCCTCCGTGTCTGCATCGCGCTGGTTCTTCAGCCGGGAGCAGCTGGAGAACACGCCGACCCGGCGCTGCGGGGTGGAGGCCGACAAGGAGCTCTCGTATCGGCAGCAGGCGGCCAACCTCATCCAGGACATGGGCCAGCGCCTCAACGTGTATCCGACCGTGGAGACCGGGCCGGGCTGGGCGGGGCGAGGCCTGGGTGGCAGCCTCATCCGGCAGCTCAGCGCGTAGGTGGAGGGGAGCCGGGGCCGGCCTAGGGGCCGCAAGGCACCAGGTCCTGTGTGCCGAGAGGTACCGGCCGGGAGCCGGAGAGTGCCGGGGGCCTAGAGAGGAGGCGAGCGGGGGCCTGGCGCCGGGAAGGGAGCTGGGGCCTCGGTGTGGTGGAGGGGAGGCAGCGGGTGGGTCTGGGGGCGAGAGTTGTTGGCTCATCTCTCTGTTCCCGTATTACATTCTCTGAAACTCCCGGCTGATCCAGCCCTCCTCGGGGAGTGGGTCTGAGGCGTTATAACGTTCCCCAACTCTGTGCTGCCGGGTGTTGGGGACGGGGGGGATTGAAGGACATGCTTCTCAAGGTTGGGTCGGGATTCTTTCCCCCCATTGATATGACTGAACTCCAAAGTTGTTTTCATCTCCTTTGGCTTTTGCAGCTACTTTAACATTCTTAGTCCCTTAAAGCCAAACTTCTTCTCTCCCACCCCTTGAAATATAAAGGAGAATGACATTTATTGAAGTTGAATATAGTGTTAGGAGGAAGAGCTGCATTTTAAGACCCTGTGTTTGTAGCTTAATTTTAGTTTATTTTCGACCATACTCCGGAAGGGCTCCCAGTTGTCTTACTGAGGGCTTGTCTACACTATGCAGCTTTTAGCGATAGGGCTGTGTCGACACAGCCTTGTTGCTAAGGGTATGTCTACACTACCTGTCGAATCAGCGGGCAGCGATTGATCCAGCAGGGGTCAATTGATTTTGTCTAGACACCATAAATCGATCCTCGAGCGCTCTCCCTGACTCCTGTACTCCACTGAGTTGAGAGGCGCAGGCAGAGTCGACAGTCGACTCACTGTAGTGAAGACACCGCGGTGAGTAGATCTAAGTACGTTGACTTTAGCTACGTTATTCGCTTAGCTGAAGTTATGTAACTTAGATCAATCCCCCGCCCCCTCGCCAGTGTAGACCAGGGCTAAAACTCGCATGTGTAAATGCACTCTGTCGGTATTTTCTCCTTTTGCCTATTAAATACTTCCAGCCCCGTGAGTGGCATTAGCTTTGTCGGCAGGAGACCACTCCTGCCGACAAAGCCACATTCATGCTGCCACTTGCATTGGCAAAACTTTTGTCTTTTTGGCTTTTTTTAAGTACCTGTTAAAGACAAAAGTTTTGTCGACAATGTTGCAGTGTAGACAAGCCCTTAAAATTAGTCTTGCTCTCTCTCTCTTTCGTTTAATCCTAAAGCCATTATTCTAAACTTTTTCTCTTGTTTCAGAGTAGCAGCTGTCTTAGTCTGTATTCGCAAAAAGAAAAGGAGTACTTGTGGCACCTTAGAAACTAACAAATTTATTTGAGCATAAGCTTTCGTGAGCTACAGCTCACTTCATCGGATGCAACAGACTGTAGCTCACAAAAGTTTATGCTCAAATAAATTTGTTAGTCTCTAAGGTGCCACAAGTACTTTTCTTTTTTCTCTTGTGTTTTCAATTATACCTTTACAATTTCCCTCATTTAAATTGTCATATAGCATGATTGTAGACTTGGGAGTTTTTCGTTGAGTATTAGGTTTTGTTAGAAGTACTGTATGTATAAACAATAGTTATTGTTCACAGGAAATGATCTGTTCCATTTCTCTTGGAATTAACATCCAATTACTATAAAAAGTTTTTGTTCAATTTGATTTTACAAGCTAGGATTCAATGGGTTACAGTAGTTAGAAAAAAAGACTCTTAGCCTGCATAAACTTGTATAAAGGATACTTGAAAGAGTTATTTTAAAATGTTCAATACAGTAAAATTGTTCCTAGCAAGAGGATGCAATGTTAAAATGTTATCTGTCTAAAGATAAACCCTGAATTAGGGGGTCTCCTTCCAATGAATGAGATATCGTAAGTCTGGTTTTACAGTCTGTGTGTTTGAAACAAATAGTAAATGTACCTTCACACCAGATTTATACTCTCAGTTTATTTCTGCTTTGTTAATTCAGTTATAGCTTTATTTAATAGAATAACATAAAAAGTATTTGTAGTAGGTAGAATTTCAACTTTATTGGTTATACGTTTTTTGTCTAGATGTGTAAAATTTCCTTAATCCCATCTTTCAGATCTCAGCTTACAATAAATACTGCAATTGTTTACATGCACAGGTTTTATATGCATCATTCCTTCACAAAATTTAATAGAAATGTAAGTAATGACTTTTATACTCTTAAACTATACTTGCACATAATTTTGAGGCAACAGCTGGCATAGCTTTCACGTGTGATGCTGTCAGCATGTACAGTTTCATTGTATTTTAGAGTATTATAATTCTAGCTTCAGAATATGGTTTTAGAAACATTATTTGTAGTACTCTGATTTCAAGTGGAGACTATTTTAACAGGTAGTAATTAAAATTTAACTTCTGCTGTGTTCCTAAACTAGAGAAATAATGTGATAAACAGCAAGAATACACACTGACCAATCTTCTTGATTTTTCTATTGTAGATTTGTTGGTTAAACTCTCTGTCAATGTAGTTTAAAAGTCTGGGGATATGGGTAGAGACCTGTGTGGATGCAAAATTTGTATCCGCATCTGATCTACAAACATGGTCCGAGGATATCCGCATATGCAGATATAAAGCTGATCTCCGCAGATTTGAAGGGCTCTAGATATGGGAACAAATATTACCTGATGCAGTTATGGTTTATGTCTAATTTACTTATACAGTAGAACCTCAAATTTATGATCACCTCAGGAATGGAGGATGTTTGTAAAGCTGAACAAAAAATATTATGGTTGTTCTTTCAAAAGTTTACAACTGAAATTTGACTTAATACAACTTTGAAACTTTACTTATGCAGAAGAAAGATGCTGCTTTTAACCATCTTAATTTAGGTGAAACAAGCACAGAAAGAGTTTCCTTACATTGTCAAACCTTTTTTTAAACTTTCCTTTTATTTTTTTAGTATTTCACATTTAACACAGTACTGTACTGTATTCGGGGGGTTGGGTTGGGTTTTTTTTTTTTTTTTTGGTCTCTGCTGTTGCCTGATTGCATACTTCCAGTTCCAAGTGAGGTGTGTGGTTGACTGGTCAGCTCATAACTCTGAGGTTCTACTGTACTTTGATTTGTAAAAGCCATGGTCAACTCGTATAACTCTTCTACCTTCGGTAACTCAATGGGCAGATACAGTAGATGGAAAAATCTCAAATCTGGCCTGGAAAGTAGCTCTTGCTGTCTTGTATGTAATTTACTGGTGAACTGGATGTTAAATCTTTAATAAAAATTCTGTTTGTGTTTGGATGTTTCTGTAACCAGTTCTGTTTGGAATATTTTTAAAAACTGGATCATGTGAAATCTCAATCCTGTTTCTCCTGTCAGATATATTAGATGTGTTGGTAAAAAATATTTGTTCAGTGCTTATGTCTTTCATCATATGAAAATAGATCTTTTGGATTTGTTTTCTCCCCTTCCTCTCCCCCTCCCCCCCCATATAAAGAATAGTCAATGGTGTAAGGAGGTATGTTGTTTAATGGCGTGGATGGTCTCTCTGAGCCCTGGCTACACTGTAAAAATAGTTTAAACACTGGTGTGAAACATAGTTGAGACCCAGGTGCATTAAGATTTTTTTGTGTCTTGATGGTAGAACAAGAAATAAGCCATATAAAATGATTGGACTACAAACAAATTAGCTAACCATGATTAATTATTTTTGCCACCTAGGAGTCTGTCAAATTTGCAGCAAGCTGGTTATCAAATAGTTAGAGTTTTAAACCACATCTACAAAAATGTTTAAGGCTTTTTATTATGTCTTGTACCTGGACTCGCTATTCTTCTTTGTATGAATGGAGAAAATCTGTGGTACAACCATGTTAGAGGGCTACGTATTTATTTTATTGTGATATGTATCTAGCCTGAAATGAACTTCTTTAAAATAGCTTTTTATTCTCAGGGCAAGAATAGTGTTAAAAGTTTAGGACACAAGTGTATATCTATCAAAATCATGTTTAAATACGATTAGGTTATTTTGCATGGACAAGCCCTTTAAAGGTGTTTTTGGATTAATCTATCGAGGACAGTAAAAGGTTTGTATTACATCACTTTTTCTCATTTTGATAGATAAGTACATAGTCTAGTTCATCAGTTCTTAAACTTCATTGCATCGCAACCCCCTTCTGACAACAAATATTACTACATGACTCCAGGCAGGGAGCCTGGAGCCTGAGCCTGACGCCTGTCACGTAGGGGGGCAAAGCCTGAGCACTGATGCCCTTGGTCTTCAACTTCAGCACAAGGCACCGGGGCTCAGGCTTCAGCTTCGGCGCCAGGTCCAGTGAGTCTAACGCTGACCCTGATGACCCTGTTGAAATGGGGTCACGACCATCTTTGGGTCACAACCCACAGTTTGAGGACTGCTGATCTAGTTGGTAATCCATGGCCAATTGAGTATAATCTAATGAGGCACCCAAAGGTTACTTTTGTGACTGTGGGCAGTTTATGGCCCTCCTCATTCAGGCAGAGTTGATTGGAGTGGAGATTTGAGTTTACATGATGTTTCCACAGCCCAGACTGGTGTAGCCTAAAAAAGAAATCCATTGGGTGGTAAACCAAGACACATCTAGCAACCAAGGCCAGCTTTTGGTAGTGACTAGAGTTTTCAGCCCGGGGGGGGCAAACTTTTTGGCCCAAGGGCCACATCTGGGTAAGGAAATTTTATGGCGGGCCATGATTGCTCACAAAATTGGTGGTTCGGGTGAGGGATAGCTTTCACATTTCTGGGGTGGGGCCAGAAATGAGGAGTTCAGGGTGTGGGAGTGGGCTCTGGACGGAGGCAGGAGGTTGGTATGTGCGGGGAGGAGCTGGGGATGAGGGGTTGGGAGTGAGGAAGGTGATCTGGGCCAGCACTGAGGGGTTCGGCTGGTGGGAGGGGGATCAGGGCAGGGGGTTGGGGCATGGGAGGGGTTGGGCACAGGCTCCAGGTGGCGCTCTACGTCAAGCATCTCCCAGAAGCAGCGGCATGTCCCCGATCTGGTTCCTAAGTGGAGGCGTGGCCAGGTGGCTCTGTTTGCTGCCCTGTCCGCAGGCGCTGCCCTGTCCGCAGTTCCCATTGGCCATGGTTCCTGGCCAATGGGAGCTGTGCGGGCAGTGTGAAGAGTTCCCTGGCTGCTCCTGTGCATAGGAGCTGGAACGGGGCATGCTGCTGCTTCTCGGAGCTGCACGGAGTGGGGCAAGGCCCTGACCCTCCTCCCTGGCTGGAGCGCCCGAGCGGAGCAAGCCCCAGACCCTGCTCCCCAGTGGGAGCCTTAGGGCCGGATTAAAACACCTGGAGGGCCGGATGCAGCCCCCAGGCCGTAGTTTGCCCACCTCTACTTTAGCCACTATATTCTACCTTCAACTGGACATTTTTCTATACAAAAAAAGAAAAGGAGTACTTGTGGCACCTTAGAGACTAACCAATTTATTTGAGCATAAGCTTTCGTGAGCTACAGCTCACTGTAGCTCACGAAAGCTTATGCTCAAATAAATTGGTTAGTCTCTAAGATGCCACAAGTACTCCTTTTCTTTTTGCAAATACAGACTAACAAGGCTGTTACTCTGAAACTAGTCTATACAGTCACTTAGTTCTTAGAATTGCTAGCACATCTGTAACTTGTAAGCAGAGCTGCATTAAATTTCTTATGGGTCAGTTCTATGCAGCCTTCCGTTTCAGAAAAGCTACGTTTATGAAAGGATAATGTTGTAACTTATTAATTGAACTAAAAGTTAAAAAGCTAGCACATATCTTTCAGAGAACTTATACGCGTGTCTCCAAATAACTTTCTGTATTTGCTATGAATGTTATGTTAGACAGTGGTTTTTATATTTGTATTGATGCATAGGCATCAAATGCACTGCCTCATTTTTTCTTTTCCTATTCTTTTAGGGTGAAGGGAGTGGTCTCAAAGTGAATGTGAGTCACTTTTAAATTCATACTCCCAAGCCATCTGGCAGGTTCTTTGTAGACAGGGCAAAGGCCAAAGGCTGTTATGAATACTTAGTAAATGTTATCCAAATCTTCAGAGTGCTTGGCCAGCTGAAAATTTAACTACTACATTCATTTACTGCAAGAAGAAACTAACTGTTAGAAATTAAAATTGTACAAGGTACTAATGATCTTAAAGCTAAAGCCTATCTGACATTTTTTATCGAATATGCATGTCTAATGGTTCTTCGACTTACATTAAAGCTAATGCTTACTCATGAAAACAAGAAATAGGAAGCCTGGGGATAAAAATTAGCTGCCAAAATTTACAATAGGTTGAGTTGTGGCTGCAAGAATCAATTCAGATTGTAAGGCTTAAGCCTTCATTCCCTTTTTATTGGTAAACTGAATTTCCTTTAACTATTCTACACTAAACTTATGTATTTATTCCTTAAGTACCACTTGATTATGCATGTAAGTAGATCATGCAAATACATACATATTTATAGGCAAAAATCTCTACTCCATGATGGCCATTGCTAAATGTTATAATATAAGATCTAATATAAGATCTGCTGAAAGAAACTATTCACTGATACATTTTTATTGGCTCAGTTCTGTTTCTGCAGTTTTCAAAATGATAGCAACTTTGTAGTAAATTCTTAAAATCTTGAAGGAAGTCAGAATGGCTATCTTGCAATGGTTTCAGCAGTAGTTTCAGGTTAGGTTTTGTATATCCTGGCATTGAAGCAGCATAACAGCCATTTTTAAACTCTCTAAATTTTTGTTTGGTCAGTAGAGACCAGCCATAAGTTTAATAAATTTTTATCTAGATCCATACTCTACCTTTAGAACAGTAATAGCTAGTTTTCGCTGGTCAGGCAAACCATGTAGAAACGAAGTTTAGCATGAAATTTATCATTAGTGCAGCTGATGCTTTCAAAGTCAATGTTGACAGAGACTTAACTTTTGGTTTGCTGGTTAACTATTTTAACACCATAAGGTCTATACTCTTGTTAAAAGAAGATGCAGCAGACACACTGCAAACTATTCCCATAACAGGTTTAAAAAACTGTTTCATCATTACATTCATACGAGGCATCAACTGTAACTTGGCTTCAGTTTTGTATTAATTGGAGACATCATTTTTGCCTGTTTCCAAATGCAGAAATGAGAAGAGAACCTTGGCACATGGGAAATGGGAGGTAAAACACCCAAGATGCACTCTTAAACTTGAAACTCTTAAAACACTCAAATCACTTTGTAGAAATACTGTACCAGATAACCAGGCTAAGAAGCATCCAGTGCACTTAACATATGATGCCCTGTCATTGTTTAATTTCACACATGTTAGAATCCTGGTAAAGTGCCTAAACACTAAAATGATGGATTGGCTTTATATAAATACTTAAGATGAACAGCTTAATCACACCTACAGTCTTTCCTCCTAATTATTGCACTTCAAAGAGTTAAAATATTTTGATACCCAATTATGGAAGTTCTCAGAGTATTCATAGCTTTGGCTGTATTACAGTGATTGCCTTGTTGATTACCTCCCCCCCTCCCCCCCCATGCACAATCTCATAACATCTCCGTGGCATGTAAGGCAATCATAGGAAAGTAATATTGTAAAAGCAATGAATGTTTTTAGCAGTTTTTAATGAAATTTGGCTGCTGGAAATGCCAGAATCCAACTCTGTGGACCATAGTTTGAAAAATCTAGCATAATCTATAACCACTTAACTTTCAAGATCTGGTTAAACATTAGTACGTCCACACTGTATTGAGCTTGAAAACAATATATTAATAGTCTAGATGTTTTTGTCTTTATCTAATATGCTTTTTTTTAAGCTGGCAAAACTTTTTATCGAGAGAGCCTTATGGACAAGGTCCCTGCAGTAAATTGTGGTCCATATTGGAGATGAATTCTAAGACCATTCCATACACCTGCAATCCATCATGTAGGCTTGACAAGACTATTATTTAATCACAGTCAAATGTTCCAGCACGCTTCATTGTGTTTTGCGTTTTCCTGCATTAAAATAACTCAGTTAAGTAATTTGTATTTTTGTTGTTAGACATAAGCATCTATTTAAGGCCGAGCCTATTGGTGACCATAAAATCTTACTTTTTTGTTGCTGTTCTAATGAATTTGTGCTTAAAAATATTTGACTGTTCTTGATATTATTTGACTAGTCAGTTGGCCATTTATTTTTGGACTAGTCAAATATCCAACCCGTCGTCAAGAATTATTTTTAAAAACACAGTGTTGTACCTTTTCTTTTATTTCCAATGGGATTTGACTCCTAACTGCCACAGCCACTTTTGAAAATGGATTTACATTTAGGCATTTTTGGAAATTTTACTCTATAATCTGTCCGGAGGAGTATATCCAGGGCAAATGCTTAAATTTATTTAAATTGTTCATTTTGTGCTATCTTAAAAATGGTGGTGTTTCCATAAAAGAAGGTTGCAACTTTCCTGTCAAGTTCAAGTCTTCGCTGTTCAGGTTTTCTGGCATAATCACATCAATTATGCTGTATTTCTGTGTCAAAAATTATTGAAGCTAATATCAAAGAGCTGCTGGAAGACCTGAAACAGGCTTAAATTATTCTTGTGGCTACATTTTGATGACTCTCAAATGTCTCAAAATAAAATTAACTACATCAATGTTCGCTCTTCCACTTCAGTAGGTTAAGCTCCATTCAATGGCACAGATATTGAATAATCTGGAAAGCCAGACTTTTCTAGGCTCGTTAGATAATGGATCCTTTTTATCTTGACAACCTTTACATTTTACTTCTAAAGAACTCTATTTACTATTTTAGCCAAAGCAATAACTTGTTTCATACTATTTTAACTTCAGAAATTTTGAGTCAAATAAAACTGTACACTATACCAACCACTTATTTGCAGCATTGATTGAGAACTTTTACACTTATCACAGTTCATATGAGAAACCACCCAGTGAACTCAATGCTGAAAACTAAAAGGAGCTAGCCAACTTTACGTAAACCTAAGTTTTCAGAAACCCTGTCCACCTTCATAAGTTCAGGACTCCACACAGTCCCATCTCCAACAGCCAATGAGTTGCTTTCCAGTAACTGGTAACTCCACTTATTTCCCCTTCCTCATTGATGCTTCTAGGCCAGTGGTCCCCAAACTGTGGGGGACACAAAGGAATGTTGTGGGGGGGAGGACATGGTGGGGCCCAGGCCAGGCCCCACAGCGGAGCATGGAGGGAGTGTCACCTGTTCCTGCTCCTGGCCCAGCTGTAGCCCTGGCCCTGACTGCAGCTGTGTTCCCAGCCATGACTCTGACTGTGGCCTCACTCTCGGCTCCAGCTCGGAGGTCCTGTGGGGGGCACCAGGTAAAAAGTTTGGGGAACACTGTTCTAGACAGTTCTATAGTTTACTGCCTACCCATCAGAATAACAAAAAATGTCCCTATCACTTCCATTTTAACTTTTTAAGCTAGGTAAGTTTAAGATTGAAATTAGAGCCTTAAATTCTTAATATAAAAACAAAATATGTTCATATAAATATTTCAGTGACATAACATCAACAAATATCAGTGTTTTCACAGCCCTAGGTACTCAACCCGAACAAGTATATTTGTAAGGAAGACAGCAGGTTTTAAATACCAAGTGAATGACTATATTTGGAGAGCCATATCTACATATTTTAATAACTGGCATTTCCAGAAATGTGAACACTGAGATTTTAAATCAGTTTAACAATGATGTTCTCATTGAATTACATGCTGCACAAAGAGCACAGGCATCTTCACTTTTTCTGTGGAATTGTCTGTTTTGATTGACGGTCAAAAATGGGATTCCTGCCACCTGCCAAAATCCTCTTACACCATTTTATTAACCTTGTCTCCAGAGTTCTTTAAATCTGAGGTATATGTTAACATCATGCTGTCTTAAACTTAATGTGGTATTTTTTATTTTTATTTTTTAGAAAAGGCATGAAAGTATTTTCACTTTGCAGTAGATGATATTTGCTACTTTCTGTACATACTGTAGTGGCTGTATAGTAACTGATAAAACACTCTTTTAATACGTTATTTTAGGTTTGATTAAACTTGACTGAAGTGAAATTCAGAAATCTTTATTTTTCTCCTCACAGAACTCATTCTCAGACTTAGTCATCTTTAAGCCTTTTTTATTTAGATCATCCAAATGGTTTCCTTTTAAAACTTCAAGCTTGGCATACTTATAGTCTTCAGTGAGGAGTTATATACCGCTAGAGGTAATGATTGGTGAGCTACTGCTGAGAGGCTACCTACCCTCACAAGTGAGTAGTTAAAATGAAATATTTAAAAATTCATCCAGAAGGAATTTTATTCTGCACATTTTCCTGATGGTTTTATGATGAGTTTGAGTGACAAATCACTTGCATTCCCCTTATATTTAGGCTATGTCTGTTTTCAGTTGTATTAACTAGAGTTAAGACTGTATCAAAAAGTTCAGTATAGACAAGGCACAAGACTAATAAGGATGGCAGTTCTAATGACAGATACCTGATGCTGATCTGTCCACGAGGAAACTGAAACTAACCCATTTTACTTAAGCTAAGAAACAGCTGCAAACGGTGATTAAATTGTTAAAAAGGAAGGCCTGAGAAGATAGAGCTCTCTTAAACATTTGTGCTGTTCCAACTCTTGGCAGTTTGACCAGAATATTTCCTGATAATCAGGTTATAGCTGCAAACTGAATGCCTCTTTCTTATTACTTAAATGGAAATTTTTTTTAAAATGTGTCTTCTGATAAAAGGAATGTGAGCTCTTTGTATCTCACCACCTAACCTTAAGTACCTCTATTATGCTCTAAAGTGAAAGGTATGAAATAAAATATCATCAGAATAAAATTTTAAGTTTTCATGGTAGGTGGATCTCCATTTAGGTTGCTCAGCTGTCCTTGGTATCTTGAAGAGTATGTGTTCCTCACTGACATGCTATGTCTGAAGTTTCAAGGAAGCCAT